CCCACCTCATCCTCAGAGTGGCCCCCTCTCTCATCTGTGTCCTGGGCTCCTCTTTCTTCTGGGTGCCCTTCCCTGTCCTCGGCGTTCTCAAAATCAGAGCCCATCTCTTGGTCCTCCAAGTCTGGGGTTTCACACGCACCCTGCTTGTCGTCTTCTTCCATCCAAGGAGAGCAGGGATCCCTGCTCTAGACAAAACACACACACAGAGAAAGGTCACGTCGTCTGGCCTCATCCTCTCACCACGTCTGGCCCTGAAGGCCTTGAAAAAGCAGCTCTCAGCCAGTAAAATGCCCAGAGTGCCAAGCCCCCGGGGGCTCCACCCCCCTTTCAAAGTCCTCAGAACCAAGTGCTGAGAAGGCCGGTGTGGGCGGCAGAGGGGCATTCTAATGGCCCAGGCCCACCCTCCCTGGGCTACATGTGAACTGGCAGCTCTGAACTGAGTGTCCATGTGAGGGGTTTATAGTTTAACTGTAAAGTGTCCATTCCTAATTTATAGTTGAGACACCCAGCTTGAAGCCCAGTGAATCCTTAGCAGTTTTACCATCAGAACTCCTCTCTGTAAGAAGTAGAAAACCCTTGCCTTCTAGTCCATTCTAGAATCCCTATGGAAGCAGACTGCCACACCTATCTCCCACAGAAGAGCCAACCTTCCATTAGCAGGCAAGCCCTTAAGCACTGCACCACCAGGGCTCCTTGGCAGAATAAACCCGGAGGGGATGAAATCAGTGACGTTGCTACAGAATCCACTCTTTGCCTGGCTCTTATTACATCATGCCCTCCTCACAGGAAGCTTGTGAGGAATTTAGCGAATTGTGAGGAGCCAGAGGGAAAAGTATGTTCAAGGCACAGGACTAACAGAAGCAACAGTGCCCAAGCTTCTTATCGGAGATCATGTCACCGATGGCAGCACCCACCGGGTTTTGTGATGCGGATCTGCTGCTTGGCAGAGAAGCAAGGAGCCAAGCTTTAGTGGGTACATAGAGGAGAAGAGGCATAAGGATGGTCAATACTAAAAACTGCCTACACAGTTCTTATGACATACTGTAGAGCTGAGACCCCCTCAACAGAAAGGCACTGCATAACCAGGCAAAGCCAGTGACCCCACAGCTGGAGACACACCAGCATGGGAACTGGGGCCCGGGGGCTGC